TAGAGCCTGTGTTAAAGATGACTGAAGACATCCTTACTCCAGTAGAAGATATCGTCCCATCTGAAGTTGCGGATGTGATGTCACCAGTGGACGATGTTACTTCATCGATCAAAGATGATTCCCCGGTGGAAGAGGCCAAGGAAATCAAACATGAACTTATCACAAATTTGGAATCCCCGATTGAAATTGTGGAATCGCCTATTCGTGAAACAGAGGTTATCACAATCGAGTCATCACCAGAGGTCGTACAAGAAAAGGAAGAGGTCTGCGAGCTTCCAAAAGAAACTGCTTCCGCACCTGAGGTGGCCGCCATTGTTGCGGCTGCGGTGACAACAGTGACGGTCGGCGCTGGTGTCATAGCCGAAGCTGCTGATACTAAGAAACCGGCGGCAAAAACCAAAACCGGCACATCCGCACCAATTAAGAAGTCGACGACCGCGACGAAAACCACGACCAAACCATTGGCTTCCACGAAATCGACGACTGCCCGACCGGCACCAGCTAAGACAGCGCCTGCTTCCAAACCAGTGCCGCCGAGGACGACCACAACGCGATCGGTGACCAGCACCACAACAGCAGCCAAATCGCCGGCTGCTAAACCGCGCGTGCCTTTAGCAGCCGCATCAAGGCCCGCTGCCGACAAGAAACCATTAACAAATGGCGACGCCAAGGCGGCTGCCCCAGCGCCGAAAGTTCCACCAATCAAGAGACCACAGGTGCCTTCGACGGCCAGAACCACAACCGCACCGAAACCGGCAGGCGTGACCACAGCCGCAAAGCCGGCGGCGGCCACCACAAAGTCTGCCACCTCCACGTTGAAACCCGCCACGAAACCATCGACCACCACAACCGCTGCACCCAGGCCGAAACCGACTTCACTATCGTCTGCAAGAACTACCACTACGTCAAAAACAACCACATCCAGAGTATGCAGATTTGTCGTGTTGATTTTGCAAATAAATTAATTTTTTTATTTGTTTTTACAGCCTCTGAGCAGTTCTGCTACGTCAACTACAACCAGAACCATCACACAGAAGACAACGACCACCACAACGGCACCGAGACCGAAACCAGCTTCCGCTCCTGTGAGCAAACCTAGAGTACCACTTTCCGCCAGAACCACCACCACCACTACAAGAGCGCCGGATGCCGAGAAGCAAAATAAAGAGAACGTTAATAAACTGACGGCAAGTCGCACAGCTGCTGCCACGAGGACGGCAGCTACACGCAAGTCGGATGCTACTAAATCGGTAAGGACGATGATATAATCCAAGATTATACAACTGATGTTACTTGGAATAGCAATAAAATGTTTTTATCTTTCTCTTAGACATCTGCGACGAAATCAAGTACATTGAACAAAGCGCCAATCACCAAAAAGCCACTGGCGAAGAACACAAACAGCTCCGTAGTGAACAAATCGAAAGAAGAAAAAGAAAAAATCGTGCCAAACGGAGTGTCCGAGGAGAAGGAGAAGGAAGTGTCGTCTATCAACGAGGCAGATCACCTGCTGAAAGACCTCTCGCCGGTAAACAACTTGATACTAGACAATTCACAACTCGCGGAAGCCACGGCGGACTGAATGTTTGTGACGGATCAATAAACGTATGCAACACGCCAATATTACTCTTATAATATCCGCAACTTTTTTATATATGACGTAATACTCTATGCTCTTTTTAACACAAAACACTACGTTACTAGTATTGGGTGTGTCGTAGGTAGGCAGAGAGGTAGAGACAGATGAAATGTGGGTAGCTGGGCAGAATGCGTTCATGTACTGATTACAAGGATAGATTGCAAAGGGTGCGCGCGCCTGCGCCCCCCCCCCGTATCGTACGAGTTTTATTTTATCATAAATAAAGTTTTAAACATGGATTATAAGTTAATGGCTTAACGACTATTTTTTATTATTATCGCTTAGGTGTGCTGAATAATTGTGATTGCTATGCACTCTGTATATAAGTTCAAAGTTTTAAAATGAATATTAATATTGATAAATGATATGTTACTTAATGCAGAATTTTTATCTACTTAAATTTTAAATAAGTTACGAGGCGAAATTATTCACACGACGATGATGTGCGAGACAGAAAAGCGATTGGCACTTCTGCAATATACTATTTTTCACATATTTACAATTAGCCGCTTGTATCCCAGCATTCTACTTCTTGGAGGATCATTTGTAACGATAAAATGCGCGCCAGGTGGACGTGGTGGACGATCATAAGTTTGATACATTTTTGTTACTTGAAAGTTATTTTTATATGTTTTCATTGCTGAACAATTTTTATAGTATTTCTTGTTTGTCTTTTTTATTTATTGTGTAAAATTGTAGTTTCTAGCACTATGAAATATAATATTTAAATCACCAAACCTCTGTTTTCCTTTCCGTCCTGCCAAGGGTACAATGATATTCCCCTAAAGAAGTGAAAAAAGTCACAAATTTGGGAAAATTCTTCTACCAGTGACGTCATGAGCTCTAAACCTGGTAAGGAGATTGTTGATTGCGAATTTTAAATCCTTGTGATAAAATGTCTATAGTTGGCTATAGTTAATATCTCTATTAGCTAGGTAATTATAATAATATAGAATGCGGAATTCCAGTTAACATTAATGGTATTAACTTGAGATTTTTATCTGTTGCAATGCAATACGACCTTTCTTTGATAAGTTTGTCAGTTATATTTACTACTTCATTTAAAATTATTGGATTACATTAACTGAATAAAAATTAATCAAACACTTCAATCATACTTATGAATAAATTGATCATATATCACCCACTTTGTCAGACTTGTCGTTATCAACTATGCAATAAGTAGTCCTTCTAATCATGACTTCAGCTGTGGATTGCATTTTATAATCAAGTAAAACAATTAGTTCTGTCTTAGCTGTCTTAGCTTTTGCTTTCTGTGTGTTCTGTTGTTCTGTGTGTGTTGAAGTTCATATCCTGTACAAATGTATTCGGACATACAGAACATACGCAAATTTGTGTTTGTGAGGTTGCCTATATTACACCTGCGGTTGAGAAGTGGTCGCCACACGATCGCCATCAGGCGTGACTCAGTTTTGTAAACATTACTTTAGCAAGTGCTAATGTCTTCCAACAAAGAAAATTAGTATCGCCATAGATCAGTTCTTGTCCGAAGATCTCATAAAAGTTATACGTAAACAAACATCGACTGCCATGGAAAAGGAACACAAAGATTTAATTATCAACAATTTTGAGTTCTTAGTGAACCTTTGCAAGTGTGATCTTTTGTTATCACACTTAAGACATGTGATTCCAATGTCTCAAGATGAGCATGATGAATTAGATGTAAGTACATTTTAACCTCTTCATATCTCACAGTAGACTATATTTATGTATGTTTCTGTTATATATAAGGGTATGACAGACAAGAAAAGACAAAACAGAGAAGTGCTCACATTCCTAATGAATCGGGGTCCAACTGCATATGATGCCTTTATAAATTCATTATCTGCAACAGAACAGTACACAGTATTGAATTGCTTGAAACCAGGTGCATGTAATGACAACCATATAGCACTTCAACAAAGAGCTCAACAGAGGTCTAATAAAGTATTTATTGAGCCCCAGAACTTTTATGAAGAACCAGTCAATATGGTTAATATGGCTGCACAGGAAAACAGGCTTGACATTGTTGTTAAGCTATCTAACAACTTCAACCATGTAAATGAGGCACGCCAGAAAGGAATGCTATTATATAACACTACATCCAGAAACAGAGGCTTGGTGAAGATTATTAATATTGATACAGTCACAGACATGAAATACAGACAAGGATCACTAACTGATGTTGACAATTTGACCAGTTTATTCACTCAAATGGGATTGAAAGTTGAAGTGCATGATAATCATTTAAAACCACCAACGGAAGCGGTAAATTAAAGTTATATATCTCCTATTCATTTAATTCATATAAGTTTTGTGTTGCAGAACATTAAAAAAGCTGTCCAAGAATTTGTCACTAATCCGTATTTAAAGACTGCCGACGTCGCCATGTTGTTTCTTATGAGTCATGGTACCCATGATAAAGGTAAAGATTACATATTTGACTGTGATGCGGTGCCAGTCTACTTAAGAGAGATTGAGCACTTCTTCCACAATGACATATGTGTTTACATGCAAAACAAACCGAAAATGATGTTTGTACAAGCTTGCAGGTAAAGTAATGCAGAGTAATGTATCAATCACATTAATAACATGTTTTTTGTTTGTTTTGATCCAGAGGCAAATTTCCTGATTACGGAACCCGTAGAAAAGTAGAGACTGACAGTCACGTACATCAGAACGCAACTACAAACCAGGTCGAAATTGACTACATGCCGACTCGATCGGACTTCCTTTTGGCTCATTCAACTTGCGTTGGTAATGTAAAATGATTCAATATCAGTGTTTGTTTTAATGATATTTAACCATAGGAACCGCTTCGCATCGTGACACGTACGTAGGTACATGGTTTATCTACTTGATCTGCAAAGTATTTATGACCCATGCCCACAACACGGATGTTGAGGAGATGCTCAAACTTGTATACGAATCTTTGAAGGTTGAGCGCACCAGTGCCGGCGAAATGCAAACAGGTGAACTTATTATTAGAACTTTCAGGCGGTGCTTCTTGAATCCTGGTATTTATTGGGAAGGCAATCAACTTAAACATTTTTGATTTAATATTTAAACCTATATATTCATTATTTATAGATAAATATTTTATTATCGATATATTTGATAAATTTTTTATACGCAATGAAACAATGCTCTAAAATCGGTAGTGATAAAATCTGCCCAGAAACAGATTAATAAATATAATTGATATGAGCTTAATTAGTGTTTACAAAAAAATATTTTATAAACATGTCTAACTTGTTTGTTTATAATTACTGGTATCATCTTGCACATAATTTCTAATTTCTAGACCATTATTACCTGCGCAATAATCCATGAATAAATTAAGTTTAAACATGGCAGGCGAAAGTTGCTTATTTTCTGGTGTAACTATGTGTTTCAATGTTTCAATTTTGTGAGGTATGAATTTCGATAAGGCCAGGTAGTCCGCATACTACAACTGGCTTCATTGTGTGAACAGCAAGGGGCCTGACAATTTCGCGCGCGCTTCCGCGCACTGTTTTGGGGGAGAAGTTGGCAAGGGTAACCGACCGACCGTCACTGATTACACAGTACTTCTATACACGTCGTGCGGGTTCAATGTACAAAAACTGTCTAATCAAACAACGTTTTTTAATTGAATATCAGCTTTGTTTAAAAATGTGTCAACGAATTTGATGTCCTATCAATTTATCAACGCATACACTCACATTGTGACATGGGACTTATAATCAATGAATAAGTTCTCCTCGACAACCAAATGAAACAGCACGCATGCACGTGAATACATTCAGGAGAGAGAAATGGGCACTTGTGCGAGTAAATCCGCTCTCTGCACGTGAGTAATTGTAATATTTTAATGTAGTGTGTACTAATATTGATTTTCTTTGCTAGTGGAGCACCTAAAAGTCCAGAAGGGCAAATTGTGATAGATTCAACTCCTTACCTTCCAAGGCATTTCCTAGAAGACACTAACAAAGCATTAAAAATTAAAATCAGCAGTGAACGAAGGCCAACCGATGGTACTCCAACGAATTACCCCTGTGCTGGGCGCACAAAGGGCACGGCCCTGATTTTGAACAACTCGAACGCCGAGTCTAGGAAGGGGGCAACTGTAGACGTTAAAAATGTATCACAATTACTCAAAGCAATCAAGTTTAAAACGAAGATTGTAAACAATTTAAAGGCAAACGAAATTGTCCAAAGTATTGATTCATTTGCGAAAAATTGCAAAGCTAAAGATGTTGACATGTGCGTTATTGTGATAATTGGGGATGTAAAATGCACAGCTGATCATAACAAATTGGCCGAGATTTCCGGAACCGATAGTAAATTTTTGCCAATCGTTGATATTATCGAACGTCTCAGTGATGAGCAATGCCCCCAGCTCAAGGGCAAACCAAAAGTTTTTTTCTTTCACGGACATTACTATGATGAGTCACACATCCAGACTGATTACACAATGAAATTGTCATTGAGGGATATGTTTATTGCAAATGCTGTATTAACAGGTATGAATTTACGCTAAAATAATTAGAACATCATCTTAACATAATGAGAATTTGTTTACAGGAAAGATGCAGAAACAAACAATGTCTTCATATTATATCCAGGCGATGTGCAAAGTTTTTATGGACGAAGTGTACGAAAAAGACTTAGAGAGTATGATTCAGAATGTGGAACAAGTAGTCTATAATCATGACCGAAGTACCCAGCACACTCATTACGACAATTTGTATTTTAAGAAATGTTATTTTCAAGCTACTTGAGTAGCCTAGTTTGTTAATATATGTTTTTATTATATTTGATGCATTACGCTCTTAGCAACAAGCGTAAGTGCGTTATCTTTTTTTGATATCAGCTAGATAACGATTTGACAATTTTGTAAACTCATGTATGTGTGTTACCTTTGACACAATGGGCGGAATATTCGGAAAAACAAAAAAACGTGCCAAAAAGCAAAGAACCAAGCATACCAGGAAATAAATTCTCCATCTTCTAAGTATGTCTAAATTAATAAATAAATCAACATAATAGTTTTAAGTGGGCTTAGCTTTCAGCCATCTACACAGGTTAATGCACCTAGTTTCCCGGCAGAGACATTCAGGGAAATTACAACAAATACAATTGCAGTTCATAACAATGATACAAGTTCGGAGTCTGATGATGATACCCAACAGATGTTACCATCGGTACCACCGACACCACCGATACAAACATTTAGGCAATACAAAACTCAAAGTATTCGGGGACCACTTGGATTGATGCTTCAGGCCGATAATACGGATCGTGTTCCAACTACTGCTGACACACCTCATATTTCAATTTTAATTAAGAAGGGCACCAAACTTTTTATACCAGAGGAGAGTCATATTCCCATGTACCGAACGAATGGTAAAATAAGAGGCAAGTCTCTAATCATAAACAACATCAAGTTTAAACACAAACATACTAGAGATGGGGCACATAACGATAGTACGAACATGTTCAATTTGTTAAAAGCCTTAGATCTTAATCCTAAGGAAAAGAACAATTTAACAGCGGGCCAAATATCTAAAACTTTGCAGCATTTTTCAAATAATTCAGAATTGGACAAAGTAGATATATGCTTTATTGTGATAATGAGTTACGGAAAAGGGAGTGTTAACGACATGACTGAGATTTACGGGGTTGATGAAGGGCTCATCAAAGTCCATGACATTATCTCGCATTTTGCTTCAAATCGTTGTAAAAAGTTGGCGGGAAAACCAAAAGTTTTCATCTTTCAATGCTCTCGAGATTCTGCGGACAACAAAGGAATCGAATTTGATGCCCGACCACCAACGCCCCCGCCGCACCTCGGAGATATGCTAATTGCATATTCAACTATGCCTGGTGATACAATGCATCCAGAAATTAAGAATAAAAACTAACACTGCTTACTTTTGTAGGATTTCCGTCTGGTAGAAATTTGGAGTTGGGTTCATATTACATTCGGGAGATATGTAATGTTTTTATGAGGCATGCTTGCGACTTGCATCTAGAAGATATGTTTAAAATAATAGAAAATAATCTTAAAAATAGAACTATTCAGCAGCACACATCGTATGAGAACAAATCGTTTCAGAATTGTTATTTAAATCCAAAGTAATTGTTTTTTTTATATTACAATGAAAAAGTGCCTAAATCAATTTAAATTTACTACTGATAAATTTAGGACATTTTTCATTTTCCGGTAACTGATACCTATCACATACAATTTTTGTTGCTATCTTTTATATAGTTGAAACATCCAGTTTAAATATGAATAAAGATTCTATTCTTTGTAATGATTTTGAAATTCAAACCAGTATTAACGGTTGGAGTGTTGCTGCTATCTTTTGATTATGCTTCAAAGATAAAAATATTGATATGACTTATCTATGACATGATAACTGGAGGCTCATAAATAATTTAGAGGCTGGCAAATTTGCCTTAGCAGTTTGCCGTCATGGGCTCCTCGAAAAGCAAAGAGGAAAAGGAGGCACAAAGCAAACAAAGCAAGAAAACGAGCACCCAAGTGACCAACACTGATCATGGATTTTCTCAAAATAATACTGCCACTAGTTTCCAGCGCACGATAACTACGCAGCATAGGTAAATACATTGCACAACGTAGCATTTGTCTGGCAAACATAGAGTGACTCATTTAGTAAATATGATTATTTGGTAGCTATTCTAGCTCTCTCGCATCGACCCAACTACAAGGCGATGTTCAAAGATCTGTTCAATCAGTTTCTCCACGATTTGCTAGTAATACCATTTCACCAGCAAGCAATATTGGTTCAGTGTTTCAATTTGACAATCCAACATGGCGGGCTGGACATTCAGGCACGGTTTCGGGTTTCCCGACTAATTCACAACCTTCAAGGCCAGCTATACCATCATATACCCCCGCTGTTAGAGGTCCTTTAGGACAATATTCATCACCGGTATCAAGATTGAGGACCTTGTCAACTCCAACATTGGAAACCAGCCGGGCAACGCCCCGAATGCAATACGATCTAGATGTGAGACCAATTATTGACATTAGAATAAAGAAAAAGCCACAATTAATTAAAGAAATTAAAGGCGGCATTCCTATGTATAATACAATCGGGCCTAGACGGGGTAAGTCTTTGATCATCAACAACATCAAATTCAAAACAAAACCTCGAAGTGGTGCCGAATACGATGGCAAAAATTTGTTCAATCTTTTCAAAGCTTTAAATCTTGATCCAAAGACAAAGAACAATTTGAAAGCTAATGAAATGAAAGTGTGTCTGGAAGGTTTTGCAAAGAGTCCCGGACTGGATAAAGTTGATATGTGTGTTATTGCAATCATGAGCCATGGGACGGGAACCATGGACGCACAGACGGAAATTACCGGTATTGACAACGAAACAGTTACGATTTTCGATATAATTTCATATTTTTCGAAAGACAACTGCCCCAGTTTATACGGGAAACCAAAAATATTTATATTTCAATGTTGCCGGGGTGAAGACCAGTTGGTTGAGCACGATGCCCAGCCAATGAGACCCCTTAATTGTGGTGACATGCTGTTGGCTTATGCAACTATGCCAGGCAAGTAAAAAATATCTCAAAATATTTAAGACATATTTTGATTTTGGTTTGTGTTTTAGGTTTCGTATCTTACCGAAATGTCGAGTTGGGTTCATACTTCATTAGAGAGATTTGCAACGTTTTTATGAACCATGCGTGTGATACTCATTTAGAAGATATGCTTAAGAAAGTGGGAGAAAGCGTTAAGGAAAAATTAGGTTCCAAACGACAATTGACTTCCTATGAAAACCTGTCATTTAAAAACTGCTATTTTAATCCTGTGTGATATATATTTAATCATTGAAAGATAATTTACAAAAAAATTGTTGTTAAAAGCCTATATTTATGAAAATATAAATGTGCGAACGCATGCGAACACTATTGTACTTTCTAAATGATTAGATGACGCTAGGATGCACATTTTAACTAAAAGTTTCTGTGCACAAAGTGGCGTGATCTCGCGCGACCTCGCTCTTTATCTCTTAGCTCAGTGCGCAAACGTGCAGACACATAAACAAACAATCCTTGCACGCTGTGTTTACCTGTGTTGGCATTTGTGTATGTATCAATCTCACCCAATAATTTGCAATCTGCGGAGTCGGCCAAATTTCAAAATTCAGTTTGTCGCCTGAGCAATGCAACTGAACGAAGTACGTAACAA